GTGAAATACGGCACCAATTCGATCGAAACTGGCCGCCTTTCTTCCGGCGCCCTGCCAGCTCAGAGATCGCCATCGTTTTAATCCGTTGCAATCGCCCTTTTTATTTGTTCTACGCGCTCCACACGCGAATCTCTGCGTGTCACCGGCCGAGTCGCTCCACCGCAGGTGCGGCAGCGCCGCCCTTCTTGCTGTCGTCCGCTGCTCTGCTGCTAGCAAGCCCCTAGGGCGTGCATAGTCCAATGATCGCCTTGCCACTGCGAATCAACGCCGCCGCACCGCGGCACAGCCTAAACCAGCAACCGCTGCGCCCGCCTTTGCTGAGCGTTACCGGCAGCTCACACACGTCGCCGCCCTGCTATGGTGCCTTGCCGTGCACTCCTAGGCGGGGAAACAGCCCCGCCGCCGGCCTGGGAAGGGTGCTTATTGTGCTGCCCAATGGGGGCCCTTCCTTGAGAGGTGTTGAAAGGCTGGGCTGCCCCAGGACGCCTTTCGCGTCTGCAGGCTTGATCACAGCCCGCTGCGACCCAGCGCTGGGCTGCCGCCTCCTCCTGACCTGGCAGTACCGGTCCCTGCCCTTGCGTGCAGGTTCTGCCGCTCCCAATGGCTTGCACTCTGGCCTGCACTGCCGCGCTGTCGGCCCCCAGCAGCACCACCCGCGCCCCGCGGACCCTGGCAGCCACGGCGGCCCTCCCGCAGCGCCGGCGGCGGCAGCAGCGCCGCCTGGCGGTGCGCGCCGCGGCGCAGCCCGAGCCCGACAGCCCCGCCAGCGCGGTGCAGGACTTTGCGCGCAACGCGGAGCGGGTGTTGTCCCGCTACGACTTCCTGTCTGCCGGCATGGGAGCCATGCTGGTCACCGGCTTCTGCGTGGCGCGTGGCCAGGACCTGGGCACGGCGCTGTGGATCACCGCCGCCGCCACCGTGGGTGAGTCGTGCGGGGCGCCTGCTGCTGCTGCTGCTGCTGTGAAACCTGCTCATCTGTGCGTGCAGTTGCCGCAGCGGCTGAATCCTGTGCTGGCGCTGCCCCGCTCCTCTCCCCTGCAGTGGCCATCTTGGTGAACGACGTGCTGCCTGAGGAGCGCTGAGCGCTGTGCCCATTCAAGCGCCATTCCTTCCTGCGCATTTGTTTAATTGCCGCTTGGAGTTCATTTTGCACAGGGCGCTGTGGCCAAGCGAGCCGTGGCTGAGCGAGCGCTGCCTGGACGGCCCCCGCCTCCAATCCTACCCTGCCGTGCCCCGACATTACGTTGTGCCGGCGGACTGAGACTGAATCCCTCACCTGGCCTCAGAATCTTTGCCTCTTTTCATGCCCGCTTCTGTGGTGAAAATCCTGCCATCACCTGACTTTTGTTGCCTTGCAACGGCGACCCATTTTTTTTTGTCCCCCATCTCCCGATGTATGTGTGCCCTTGTCGGTCCCTCCTGTTCCATGAAAGTACTCTACTCTGGCCCGCTGCACTCTGGCACGAGCCTTTTACTCGTGCAATTCAATGGCTATATATCTGTGTCAACAAGCATGCTTGCGTTACGTACGTCCTTCACGCCTGGACTTGCCGCATTTTTTTGCGAGCCTTGAATGTTTTCAACAAATGCACCTGCTGAGCAAAAAGCTGAGCCCCTTGTAGATAGCGCTGGTAGATAGCGCTGGCGGCAGCTCTGAGCCCTTGTTAGCGCTGCCCAATGTAAAGCTGACGCAAAACTGGTGGTGGTGGGTGAGGTGGGATTGCAGTTGGGGAGGTTTACAGGCAAACTGATTGATGCCAACCAACGGGTGCCGCCTCCAGCGGCCGATGGGAAGGGGGTGTGGAAAACAGCATTGATGTCAAGAACGAGTGTCAGAGCAGAGCAGCGAGAAGCGGAAGCAAAGGAAATAGAAGAGCAGGCGGGCAAGCGTCGAGGGAGCAGGCACCTCGGCGCCGCGTCAAGGGCCTAGGCCCGTGCCGGCGTGTGCTCGCTCCCGACCGTGTGTGCCCACCCTCAACCTGCTTCTTGCTCCTCTGGCGCTCCCCGCAGGTAGAGGACGTTGTTACACCTGCAGCCAGAACAACCAGCCGGAGCAAGGCGGGTCAGTAGGGCTAGAGGATGTGCATGCAGCTGGCCCTCCCACGAGCCGGTCCGCAGCGAGCGGTGCTGTGAAGCGCTGGCGCACCACAGGCATCCGCACCAATGCGACGCAAACTTCAGTGCTGGCGTGCCCCACCGGATAGCAAGCATGCGACCCACCGACTGCGGGAAAATGCAGCCCACAGACCCTCAACACTGCCTCCGCCTGCCCGCCTCCCCCCCGGCATGCGCGCACCTAATGAGCACCTCGCCCAGGTTGCCCGTGAACTGGCCGTCGATGTACTCCTCGGTGCTGGCCAGCTGCAGGTTCATGTAGCTGTCCACAGACACAAGGTAGCCTGCAACGGGCAGGGAGGGCGGCAGGGAGGGCAGCAGTGCAGGCATGGGTGGGAGCCAAGGCAATGCACGGCTGTTGGACCAACTAAATGCGGAAGGAGCAAGGCTTGAACACGCTGTGCAGCAGCAAAACAAGTCCAGCCACCAGGCGAGGCTCCAGCCAAAGCTGAAAGCAGTCCGCTGGCGGGCGGGCGGGCGGAGCGCCTGCAGACCTGCCTTCGCGCTTGCTGCCAACCGGCTTGCCGCCCAATGCAACAGCCCCAGCATCCCATTCAGAGGTGCTGCAAGGCAGCAGGGGAGGCAGCCCCCAGGCCCGCCATCCCTGCGCACCCTTGTACTCCATCCCCCACTTCAGCTTCACGATGACCTGCTTGCCCGTGAGATCGTTCAGAAACGGCTTGGGATTGACGGGCACAGTCTGCACAGCGGGCGGGCGCGGCCATCAGTGGCGCTCACGCTGCTAGCAGGCCCTGCAGCGCTTGCACGCAGATGTAGGGGTCCGGAGGGCCGCGATGCAGGTCCTCACCGCCGCCATTATGCCGCGCCACTAGCTCCCCACTGCCTGAAACGCCGCCGCTCACACAGCCGCCGCTTGCAAGCCGCAATGACGATCTGGGAGAGGCAAGAGGGGTGGCAAGCACGTCTGCAAGTTCGCCTGGCCAGGCAGGGCCAGCCTGGCGAAGTGTCCAGCTGGATGAAAGCCCTGAAGTGCACAGGCGCTTCAGGACATCCACCTGCATCGCCCTGGCATCTCGCCGTGCGGGATCGCAGCGTCCAAGGGGTGGATCGCACACAGTTGGGTGAAGGCAAAGCCCTGCAAGTCAACGCCTCGCGCTCCCAGCGCCCACAGGAGGCTGGTCAGCATGTTGGAACGCATAGCGAGCTTGACTCCGCGCGCCAAGGTGCGGAGCGCTGGAGTCCAGCCTCAATTGAGGCGGGGCGCGAGGCGGCGCTAGGGCGACAGCGGCGACCGCCGCTAGAGTTGGTGTCTTCTGTGGCAGGGCAAGTTTCAGAGTGGGATGCGGAAGGTTGGAGAGGGAGTGAGGAGCCTCATCGATCCAGGCAACACCCTGCCCCACCTGCCTCCACCGCAGGAGGTCCTGGAGTCGGCTGCCTCGGCGCGCACCTCCATCGATGCCGGCGGCGGCCCGGGGCCCCACCTGGTCCCTTCGGATCGGGTCCTCAAGCTGTGGCGCACCGCGCAGGCCGTGTGCTTCGACATTGACTGTGAGCTTGACATGAAGCCGCATGGCACGGGCTGGGCATGGAGGAGTGGCAGCTGCGTTGCGCCACATCACTCGTCACGCGATGCCCCCCCTCTCTGTTTGCTGCCTGCCCGGCTGCTCGGCCCGTCTGTGGCCGCGCAGGCACCGTGGCCAAGAATGACCAGCTGGATCTGTTGGCCGATTTCATGGGCGTGGGGGAGCAGGTGGCCGCCATCACAAACTCGGTGCGTCGCGGGAGATTGACCCCACGGGAAGGGGCATACGCACAGGCGGGGCTGAAGGCCGTCGGATGAGCAGCACAGAACATGCTGAAAGGGCCTAGATGGACTGGGATGCCGCCAGCCACCAGCCGCCCTCTGCAGGGACTTGGCTTGCAAGCAAGCCTCTCCCAGCAGCGCCCCCTCGCCTCTGTCTGCCATCTCATGCCCGCCGCCTGCCTGCTCCTTCCTTGCCGCCTTCAGGCCATGGATGGCAGCATGAGCCTGGAGGAGGCGCTGGAGCAGCGGCTGGCAGTCATCAACTGCACTCCAGCAGACATTCAGGGCTTCCTCAAGGCCCACCCCGCCGAGAGCCGCCTGACGCCGGTGAGCAGGACGGCTGGTGGTGGGGCCCTGCTGAGCAGCCCGCGCCCTCATTGCCTGCCCCAACTCCTCTGGCTCTGTGGCGCTGCGGCAGCAGGTTGTGCGTGCAGCACCCCCGCCCATACATGCATGCACCCCCACCCCCCGCTGGTGCCTGCAGGGAGCCAAGGAGCTCATTCAGCAGCTGCAGCGTCGCGGTGTGGCGGTGTACCTCATCAGGTGGGCGTGTGTGGGTGGGCAGGCGGGGCCTGCCAGCAGGCAGCCAAGCCAGCGGCGCAACTGTGCCAGCTCTCTTCCTGGCTGGCTTGCCTGATGCGGCAGCGGCAGCGGCAGCCTGCGCTTGTTAACAGCCCTTGCCCCAAGCCGCCCCCTGCTCCTGCAGCGGCGGCTTCCGCGAGCTGTGCTTGCCCATTGTGCGGGCGCTGGGCGTGCCGCCCAAGAACCTGTTTGCCAACCGCATGAACTGGCAGGTTGATGACGACACGGGTGAGGGCCAAAGCGTTGGGATGGAGGGGGGGGGGGGGGGGGGGGGGCC